CCACCACAATTACAGGACATTTTGAGAGATGCTCATAGTCCCCTGGAACTAGTCAACCTAGGAGGGCAAGGAGCAAAAACTGTTCTTTATGTCCCTCTTACCAAATTAGTATAGGCCTCAAAGTATGTCTGTTAAACATCCATGAGGTTAATTCCACCAGTCTGGTACTTTTAATTACTGTGTGCCATGTAGATAAATATTGGGTCAAGCCCAGTTCTCAGATAAACCTTACCTAGACATAGATTTCTTGATCTGCTATGTAAAATTTGTCAGTAGGTTGTAGGAGTAATATGGTTCTGTCTGGTTTTCAAAACTAGGCATTATTTATCTCTCGCATTGTCTCACCCCGCCACCATAATTTTCCCACTTAAGGTGCCCCCGTTTCCCCCCTTTCTCCCTTAATAATAATCTTCTCCTATGGCCCAACCTCTCTTGAGCTCCTTCTTTCCCCTTATTCCCTAGGTTCCTTGTATACCCTTCCCTCCCCCCTCCTTTAACCCAATTTTTGTCTCTATCTCCCTTATTATGGCCTGTTTCCTACTCTTCTTCCCTCTCAGATTCTTTCTTTTCCTTTACCTTCCTGTTTCCTTTCCATTATCCTGGTTCCTGTAGTTATGTCTGGGAGTATCCAGTGCTTTTATCCATTGAGCCACCTCTCCAGCCCCTAGGTTGTTTTTTTTTTATAAGTTGTTATATTTTTTGTTTTTAAAGTTAACATACAAAGTAATGGGCTTCTCTATGACATTTTCATATGTATATGTCATTCTACATTGCTCTTGTTCAGCCCTTCTCCACTGCATACCCATGCTAATATGTTAGATACTTGGTTTTCATCAGAATAAATACCACAAAAATCACCCATGGTCTCTCTGCTTGTGGCTTTTTGACATGTTGGACTGTACTTTCTAAGTAGGCAAGTGAAAGATAATAGATTAATTGTCTATCTGTGATTCAGGTATCACTATAACCTTTCAATATTTCTATTTTGTTATTGATGATACTTATAGAAGTATTGACTTTTATTTATATTTTGTATATATATGTAACAATTTTTATTTCTGTACAAATATCTGACATAAGATTTGGTAGTACAGTTAATTCACTGCTTATTAAAAATTTTATGCTCTGCTAATATTTGAAAAATTAATTTTTTGTGGCATGTTTTCTCTAAAGCTTATTCATAGGCTTCAAAGCTAGGAAATTTGTGAATACATCAGCCACTAGAAATGCTTATAGCATACAGGACTCATTTAATTTTTTTTTCTTTTCTTTTTACACTGCTGAGAATTGAGCTTAGGCCCTCACTCATGCCAGGCAATTGCTCTAACACTGAACTCTAGCCCTATTACTCCATTGTTCATTTGAAAAGTTTATTACTTCTTTAGTGTTGACAGACTTGTTGATGCATTCTTTACTCAATAAGTGAAGACATGTTTTGAATTCTCATTTTTTATTACAATACTATTTCTTTTCACTATAAATATGTATTAGTGTTTGAATTGAAGATGGATTTCTCATAGATGATTGTAAGATCTTCCCCCTTTTTTCATATATTGTTATCTGGGTGAATAATTGATTTGCAAGTTATTTTCTTGAGACAAGGTCTCATGTAGTCTAAGCTGGCCTCTAACTTCTTATGTAGCTGGGAAGGGCCTCAAACTACTGGTCCTCCTTCCTTCACTTCTATTCCAGGATAACTGGCATGTACCACCATACTCCGCCCTTTCATTTACTTGATAGTGTCCTTTGACATACACAGGTTGTTAGCTCTGATAGTTTAATTGATACATTTTTTTTAAAGTAGCTGATTCAGTTCTTTTACTTTTTATATTTTATTATTTTTATTTTATGTGTATGAGTGTATTGCCTGTGTGTATGTGTATTGCCGCAGAGGTCAGAAGAGGGCTTCGGATTCCCCTGGAAGTGGAGTTAAGGACAGTTTGTAGCCGCCATGTGGGTGCTGGGAATCAAACCCCGGTCCTCTCCAAGAGCAGTCAGTGCTCTTAACCGCTAAGCCATCTCTCTAGCCCCCAATTGATACATTTTTTTCTTTGGTTGACTGTGCTTTTCATATCATATCCATGAAGTCATTGTTAAATCCACCATCAGGAAGGTTTTCTTCTAAAATTCTGTGATTCTCACGTTTAGCTCTTTCAGCTGTTTTGAGTTACTTTTTGTGTGTAGACAAATTTTCCAGCACCTTTTACTTGAAAAAATGATTGCCCTTCCCCCATTGAGTGGTCTTAATTTATTCCTTGTCAAAACAACCCACTAACCGTGTGAGTGTGTACTTCCAGGCTCTGTGTTCTAGTCCTTTAGTGTATATGTTTGTCCTTATGCTAATACTACATGTTTATTGTTATTCAAAA